ATTCCATGTCAAAGTCGGGACGGGTTCAAGTATTACTCACGGTACAAGTATATTTGTCATCCCTACCCATTGCTCATTTTGTTGGGTTACTCTGATGTAACCAATTATATTATATAAACGTTGCTTGACTAGCAACTTAGGATTACTATACACACACAAAACATATATATCATCAACTAGCCGATATATATATATATATAATATTGAAAAAAGAATACAATCAAGGAAACAAACGAATCAAATAAAAATGATAAAATAGAATATTACTGAAAAATTAATATGGATTACTAAAATATTAATTTTGCATTTTTTTAATATTATGAATTCGATTATTATTATGTTATAATTATTTATAACATAATTCTTTAAATATAAATTTGATTATATTCTAAACTAAAAACTTAAAATAAAAAAAAAGAGAAATATATATATAAATTTAATATAGAAATAAATAAATAAAATAATAAGAAAATAGAGCTCCCATATATATATATATATATATATATATAGACTAGTCGATGATGCAACCTTTATGCATGTATGTATATTTTGTTATTTTAACTTCCAATAATTGTTTATGTATTAATCTTAGGTAGTTGAATTATTTTTCGTTGCTAGTTGTTGATTTTGTTAAATGTATTGAACATGATAGGTCATTACAAAACTCTTTACATGCCCACCCTTTTTAGACTATGGAATGTCGCATCTTAGTTGTTGTCAGCGGTAAAGTTGGACCATCGACCTTTCTTCTCTAGTGAAGTGTCTTGTTCATTGCTGTTGAAACGGTCACAGTAGGTGGAGATGATCTTAATGATTTTAGCCAACCAACACAACTCTTCATGACCTTGGAGGAGGTGGCATTGACAGTGCCACCAACAAAGTGGAGGATGCTCCAACGACACATAAGCTCCTGCATGATGTGGGGGTAGTCAAGCGTTAGGTTCAACTCCTCCATGGTGAGGTGGTGGCTTATAACAATCTTGTAGAGTTGATAGTCATTGAAGACGAATTCAACGTCGTTGTCGAGATCGTGAATTGTGAGAAACAATTCATCAAAGGGATTGGAGTTTGGATTGAAAAATTTAGGGTTTGTAATATCAAATTTAAATCAAAGAGGAGAAACACAATCACAAGGGTAAAGTTTGGATGCAATAAAGTGTATTTTAAAATTTTTGTTTAAAATAATTTTAAAATCAATTTATATACGTGACGATGATAAGTAGTAGAATATAAAAAATATAATATAATATATATAACCACTATCTAAAAATACTGAGAGATACAAATATAAAAAAAAATTAATATTATATTAAAAAACTAATATAATACTTTTTTTAAAATTAATTTTTAATTCAAATACGTACAACACCTTGTGAGACAAAAAAAAATATCATATACTGTTATGTTAGATAAATTTTAGGAGATTAGTTCTGGTGTATTAATAAGAGTACTCTTTGGTGGAAAAAAGAAAAAAGAAAAAAGAACCGTCTGTAGGCGGCACAGTAAGAAATATGAAGATAACGATCCATCCTAATTTATTGAAGTGTTTGGTTAGGAGTGAAGATTCCAATTAATGATTTTTGTTTGCATAATCAATATCTCTGAATGGATACACACTGCTCCCAAAATCAACTTGCACTACTTTTTAAAGGATACTGCTTTCATTGATGGCTACTATCAGCTAGACTCCAAAAATCCTGCATCAACTTTTAGTATAAATTTCTCCATTAGTAAACTATAGATAAAAAAATATATATGAAAAATTAAGCTTTTATAATTTAATATTTAAAATTAATTTATAAATTTATACATAGATTAATTTTTAAAAAATTTACCAAATTAACTTATAAAAAAACTTATTTATTATTTACAAATAATAAGTTAATTTCAACTAACAGAAGGATTTATTTTATTTTTTATTTAAAATATTTTTAAAGAAATTTATTAAAATAGACTATTAATTAATATATTTTTTTTTATTTTGTAAAGGAATATATGTGTGATTTAATTTTTTTTAGATGTTATGGATCTTGATAACAACTATCTTCTCTCGTTTCAAATTATTAACTAATGCCCATTTGATTGTTTGTTTGTTTTATAGTTCCGCAATGGCATTTCAGTTTTTTTATTTTTTGGATCATAGGTATTCATTAGGAGCAATTTTGTTCAATAGGTAAGACTATAATAAAGATAAAACAAAATTTATTTTATTTAATATTATTACATATTCAAACTCAAATTCAAAATTATTAAAATTTAAATTCAAAATTATTAGTTAAACCTGAACAATCATACCGATTAGTTATGCAAATAATACATAACATTGTTATTTGACAAGCATTTAGTTGAAATGTAATTTTGATCAAGGTTAAAATATTTTTTTAATTTTTTTAATTTTATTTTTTTTACCTTTTAATTTTTATAGTTTAAAAATGGATTTTTTAGTATCTATACTTATTTTTTTAATATTTTTTAATCTTTATAATTTAAAATTGATATTTTTAGTCATATATTTGTAATTTTTTAATCTTTCTAATTTTTGTCATTAACTTTTTTGTCTCTTTTGTGTTTACATGATAAAATTATTAATTCAACTTTGTGTTTGATGTTAAAGTTATTTTACTGAAAATTTTTCTAAATTAGGTTTTTTAACGTTTCGTATTTTTTTTTATCTTCACTTATAAATTTTTTTTAATAATAAAGACTAAAAAGATTAAAAAAAACAAATATTTGAACAAAAAAGATTTAGATTAAAAATGATCGAAAAAAAATAAGTACATGAACTTAAAAAAGTTTATTTTAAATTATAAGAAGCAAAAAATAAAATAAGTAAAACTATATTCTAATCTTTAATTATATACTTACATTCATTATTTGTAGATTTTATTGATAAAATAATTAGATCAAAAAATTATTCTACTAAAAAAGTAGATGCTATTATAGGTTTAATAAGTTGAGTGAAGTTGAGTAGTTAAAATTTGCCACATAGTTTTAGTAAGTTAAACTAAAAGTTGACTTATTAGAAGTATAAAATTTAAATTTGACTCGTTGAATTATTTTATAACTTTATTATTTTCTATAATTGGAAGTGCTTTTAACTCAAGCTTATTGATTTAAAATTTAATGATATTCTTAAGTAGTATTAAAAAAACGTATGAGATTAAAGTAAATAAGACAATGAGGTTATAGTTTTGTTTGATAATTTTTTTTTATATAATACTAATAGGAAAAAAAAACGAATCAAACTATTTTTTTTTTAATAAGTTAAAGTCAAACTTATACACTTCAACTTCTAGTTCTACGTTTGAGATTTATCCCCTTTTTTTGCACTATGAAATAATTAAAAATTATTTTATACACAATACTTTTAAATTAATTATTATAAAAATGACAATCTTAAGATAGAAGATAATCTATGGATTATGATTGTACGAGTGTGTAAAATAAATTAAAAGGCAAGTGAATATAATTAAATTGATATAGCATTTGTTTGTAAAATAATTAGGTAGAGTACTACTAGCTAGACATGGGTCCATCGTCCTTTAGGAACCAATACTTTATGTTGGTTGACAACTTAAATAGATTGCAACTTGCGAAGTAGGAATGCTGAATGCATGCATATAATCAAATAAATTATGGCCTATTGTTTACCATTGAGGGCTGTCCCAATCTTATTAATTGCTTAGCATCAAGTTCATTGCGTTTGCAACAGCGAAACGATTGTCATAGAACTTATTTAAGAAGTGTATATCATTTCAAATCATTATAAATATTAAACATGTAACAATATTTAGAAATTTAAGAAAATAGAGAATTTTTTTAATCTTTATCCTTCATCGAGCCTATAATAATAGAATATCACAAATCTTTTTATATACAATATTATAAATCATCTATTTTATTATTATTATAGATAGTTATAATTTTTTTATATATATTTTTTCTTCATTTTATCTTTTATTCATAAAGAGTTACTACATAATCAAATAAACAAAAAAATTTAAAAAAAAATAGAAACCAAAATAATTATTTAAAAATATATTCTCTTTATTAATAGTTATAGATAATAACTCTTCATTAATTCTTCTATTAAGAACCAATAAAACATGTAAATTATGACTTTTAATAATTGATTATTAATCTGTAACAGTTTCTTATTATCAAGCAATTAATTAGATTAATAGAATAATTAAATCAAACATAAATTAACATAATATATTTTTCAACAAAAATCACCACAAAGTGGTTATATTATTAAATAAGGGACACTTTAACATCAATTAAAATGGATAGTTTTCATAAGTTTTGGAACCAATATTGATTATGCCCAAATAAAATGAGAACAATTTCTACACCGGTTATATTATAACTGATGTTGAAAGATGCATTTTCTGCAAGGTGTTGTTCTTCCATTTCCGGGAGAGCAAATTTCATGATTCTTGCAAAAGGATCTCATAAATGTCAGTTCTCAGATTCAGTTCCTTATCACGCATAACTACTGATGGTTTCATGATAATACAAGAGGTAAATTATTGCTTCAGTATAAATTAGAGAAAATTTGCATATACCAACTGGAACATTTGAAATTACCATACGTGTCCTTGTGCATAAAGAGAAAACACAGTAAAAAAAAAGACAATTTTATTTATGAAGCTATGCAGATCAAACAGCCAGGCAACATAGCAAAAAGCCAGAGTGAAAAGTCCGAAAAGACAATACTTACCACCTTGGCAACTCGGACGGTCTGCTCGGAAACGCAGACCTCCACCTCAGCAACGCCAACCCCGCCTGCAAAGGGATCCATAACGCCTCAAGAAACAAAGACGGGGAATTAACACGGAAAACGCGTGCATATGATAAGCTACTCACCTAAATCAGAACATATATAATTTATACATTAATGAAGCCTAGAAACATAACATAACTACTTCCCAGTTGCCACCCATTACATCTCTTTCTCATAAATCTGCTAACACAAAATGCAGACTTGATACATACATCACAGCCCCTTATATTTATACACTATTCCACAAAATTCTTGTAGTTTTAGAACATACCATATCCGATACAGCATCATCTAGAGAATGGACATACGCATGCAGACCATCACTTCCACCATGGCCTATAGACGTGTAAAGATAGCAGACAAAAATCAAGTTTGAGCTAATATTAAAGACGAAGGAGATAGAAATAAATAGAACACTATCTGCTGAATTAAAAAATAAAGCATTTAAGTTTCCAAGATAGATCACTAGGCAGGAATTGACATCCTGTGTTCCTGAAATTATCATCGTTGTAACATAAATATGCTTTAACTCGGGAATAAGAACTTAATTCACGGTGAAAAACTAAACAAGTAAAATTTAGGCAAGTACTTTGTTTTCATTTACATTCAGATCTTAGTCTAATTTCTACAGATAAAAAAACTAAATGCACAATACAAGACTTCTGTGATTTATTTGGTAGGATAACAAGAAATGCACGTGGTGTTCCTTCCAAATTGTAAAAAAAATAATGCACATGCCTATAAGAAAGACCACATGAACACCCAAAATCTCAAAACAAAAGCAAAAGAAGGGAAAATAACACTTATCCGTGTAAGACTCCTGTGATTTATTTGTAGTACTGTGCAATTGTTATTCTAAAATCCATACTTATTCAGACTTAAACTTGATGCAATGATGCGTGAGCTATTCTATTCTTAAACAAGTTAGGCTCATTACACACAGTAATATGCTTACTTATAAACAGGAGCTTCACAAATAGACATCCAAATAACTTAGCCATGCAACATCCAAATATAGATGCATGTTGAAGAACAGTGGCAACTAAACTATTTAATAAAAGGAAGAAATTATCATTTTCTTCTATAATCCAATGGAATAATCATATATATAAAAATGACACAAATTTGTCAAAAGAAAATTTTGTTCACAATTTCACTACCACTATTTTATCCTTATTTAACTGAACTGACATGAACAAGCTGAAAATTATTTTGTTGAAACTACAGAAATCTGGTCAGTGAATCCTCCTTTATAGCAAATAATATATAAGATGAAGCAGAATATACGACATGTTTAAAAAATTAAATGTATACCATCTTTCTCATGCTAATAGTACATGGACAATATCATGAAAAATAGCCCGTATATAGATAGCCCAATTAGGAAAACAAAGGATTTATTACCAAGCTTATGAATCAAATGGAATAGCTACTATCATTTCTCCACAATTCATACATGCTAATAATTTATAATCGGGTTCACACTTACCAATCCAATCCATCCCATAAACTTTGTAGCCATTAGCATTCAACTGCTTCGCAAAATCACTATATCTGCCACTGTCAAGGAATAATGGGGATGGCTTCAGGAAAACAAAGTATTGTAAAATCTTAATGACTTTAGTTTCTCTTGCATATCTCACTTTCTCTCTTTCTTCTACCCAACTCACTCTACAAAGGGTGTGAGAAGAACATCACCCCATACACAAATTACTAACCTGTGTTCATTAAGTCCATGCATAAGAAGAACGAGTCCCCTGCACAAAGTAGGTAACCAATTTTAGCTGTTCAAATTCTACCGGAAAGAAAGCAAAGTAATGATGTGTAGAATAAATTGTTAGTTTTAAGTTATGATTTGTATTTATTTGAGAAGGATATATTTATGGAGAGGAGTATTAATTATATCTTGTTATTGTATGAAGGCTTATTTTAAAAGCATTTGCACACACATTTCCACTTTAGTATAGATATTATCTATTATGAACTTAAATTCTAATTTTATTTTTGATTATCATCTAAAAGGTTTCTTTTTAATAAAATATGTGTTTATTTTATAAATTATTATTTCTTTTCATGTTTTTATAACATGAGACCTTAGAACCTTATTTATATCCAAACATAAATGTGTAAGTTGGCCTTAAAAACAGAAAGAAAAAGAAATTGGAATAAAAACTGTGCATGTTATGCTATATATCTTAATTTCCTTGTTTTCAGGAAATAAAATTTTAACAAGACACAGGATACAACATCAGCATAAAACGTCTAAAGATATAACAAATATATCCATCATTAATATGTATGCTCTTATTATAACTATGAAACTGCCATTTAGATTAGAATAGATTATGAAACTATATTAAATTATCCATATTCCATCCCCAGAGAGGAATTCAGGTTGTAGTTGGTATATATATTTTTTAATATAACCATATTATTGTTACAAAATATTAGTTTATGCAAAGGTAAATTTTGTTATGGGTTGCTGTGTGTTTGGAAAAACGTTAAGTTGAACGTAACCCACGTTTTTTCTAATTCATCAATATAGTTGCTTCTCCGTTTTGTACTTTGGAAATCGGGATTCTCCGTTTGAAGCTTCTCAAACGGAAATCCAAACATGCACTATACCTACCTGATATTATGAGAAACTGGTGTCCAACATTGTGTGAAAATGGTGTCACCCCTTTTGGTCCCCAAAAGCTGATACTCCCTCACACATCTTTGGTCATCATCCTCCACCACCCTCCTTATGGCCAACTCTCTCCTTGCCACCGCACCATCACTAGCACCGGCACTTTTCCTTGGCACCTTCTTTGCCAGCGACACCCTCCTCCGCCCTCTGAACGGCAGCAGCAGCAGCATAGCAACCGCGCATATCAACGTCAACAAGCTCTTCAACGCTCTCAGAGACAACAAGGCACTTTGTTTCAACATGAAGGCTTCTCTGGCCATTTTGCTCCACACCCTTTTGCTGTTGACGCCTCCTCTATCTTCTTACGTTGATTTCTCTTCTTTTCCTTCGCGGAAAATTGTTGAAAAAAATGAAAGAAGAAAGAAGAAAGAAAAGAGAAACGGTGGTGAGTTTCTGTTTGTTATGAAAAAATGCAGAATCCTAGATGATAAAAATAGCTTAGGAGGATGTGTTGCCAAATATAGGAGAAGCTAAAACTGGATGGTAATGATAAGTATGAGGATGACAAACACGATAATATATATATATATAATACATGCAAGCGTAAATATTTTGTATTACTATACTCCTTGTATATTATAATACATGCAAGAGTAAATATTTTTCACACTCTCATGGCAAACTATTATAAATATAAGGTTATTAATTTTCATAATAATTAGAGTTTTTTCACTCAAATAATACTATTTTAAATTTTTTTTACTCAAATAGTAACTGTATAAATTTATTACCCCAACTAGCACTATTTACTGTTCACGTTCAGAACGGGCGTTCTGATTTTAGAATGGGTCGTTCCAGATTAAAAAATAACACATGACGAACGGATCAGAATGGACCGTTCCGGAATCAAAATTAGCATATAAAAAGTAGAACCAGAACAGACCGTTCTTAATCCAGAATGGGCCGTTCTGACCTATAAATAAAAAAAATTTGGTTTGATTTTCACTTATCAAATATCATAACTCAAAAACTAACATCAAATAATTAAATTTATTAAATATTAACATTATAAATATAACTAAATAAATTTATTAAAATTCAATACAATAATAAAGATCAATGGTAGCGAAAACTGATTATGTTGTTCTTTAATGTCCATCTCTGTTTTAATCCTGCTGGACTTTGGTCGACCCTTGAAAGTTCTCTTGAACTCTGGATTTTGCCACAAAGTTGGACTAGTGTAAGTAGGCCAATAATCTTCATGTCGGAGCTCTCCAAACGGTCCTTCGTATACCTTTGCAACTTATTGTAAGGTATATATGGGGGATATGTAGGTTTGATAGTCGTGATGTGCATGTAAGCATGAAGTGAGTACATGCGAGCAATGAATATGAACTTTCTGGAACTTGCTGCAATCATACCACATTATATTTAGCCTCTGTAAATCTTCCAACGGGTGATCATGCGAACAAGGGATATGAACTTTGGAACTTTTCGCAATCATACCACATTTCATTTAGCCTTATTGTAAATTTTCTAGCGGGTCAAACTTCTCTCAAATGTTGCGTTTCTTCCAACTTTGTGGCCAAATCCAGAACTCAAGAAAACTTTCAAGAATTGGCCAAAGTCCAGCAAGATTAGAACAAAGATGGACATTAGAAAATAACATAATCGTGTAAAAAATTGTTTCTATTGTCACACCCCTAGTCACACTAGGAAGACATATCCAAATATTGGTTATGAGTTTAGTTTCCGCCACCATTGATCTTTATTGTTGTAATGAATTTTAGTAAATTTATTTAGTTATATTTATCATGTTAATATTTAATAAATTTAATTACTTGATGATAGTCTTTGAGTTTTGGTATTTGATAAGTGAAAATCGGAAAAAAAAATGGTTTGTATCTATAGGCCAGAACGGCCAGTTCCGGATTCAGAACGACCCATTTTGGTTCCACTTTTTATGTTCTAATTTTGAATTTGGAACGACCCATTTTAATCCATTAACCATGTGTTATTTTTTAATCTGGAACGGCCCGTTCTGAACGTGAACAATGAATAGTGCTAGTTGGGGAAATAAATTTGCACAGTTGTTATTTAGGTAAAAAAAAATTAAAATAGTATTATTTGAGTAAAAAAATTCTAATAATTATCTTTAAAAATCATATAAAAATGATTTTGAATTGATTGAAAATTTTACATACCAACTAGGCAACCGCCAACCGTATACATTGATAATACAACCTTATTAAAAACTCAACAAAAATGTGGTGTAAAAGAAAAAGAAGCAATTAATTTAAATAGGTAGATTGAATTCATAACATGTTTTGTTTGGAGGAGTTGAATTGAAGTGAGATTCTCTCCTTTGTATGTGTTTGCGTTTGGAAGAAAGGGAAGAGAGAGAATAGGAAACAAAGATTCGGTTTTGACTGGGGTGGTTTTTTTTTTTTTTTGGCCGTTCTGACCTATAAATAAAAAAAATTTGGTTTGATTTTCACTTATCAAATATCATAACTCAAAAACTAACATCAAATAATTAAATTTATTAAATATTAACATTATAAATATAACTAAATAAATTTATTAAAATTCAATACAATAATAAAGATCAATGGTAGCGAAAACTGATTATGTTGTTCTTTAATGTCCATCTCTGTTTTAATCCTGCTGGACTTTGGTCGACCCTTGAAAGTTCTCTTGAACTCTGGATTTTGCCACAAAGTTGGACTAGTGTAAGTAGGCCAATAATCTTCATGTCGGAGCTCTCCAAACGGTCCTTCGTATACCTTTGCAACTTATTGTAAGGTATATATGGGGGATATGTAGGTTTGATAGTCGTGATGTGCATGTAAGCATGAAGTGAGTACATGCGAGCAATGAATATGAACTTTCTGGAACTTGCTGCAATCATACCACATTATATTTAGCCTCTGTAAATCTTCCAACGGGTGATCATGCGAACAAGGGATATGAACCCCAGGATTTGATGGTTAATTCCACCGTAAACACTATGATATTTCATTTCTCTTCTTGATGTAAAAACCCTTTTAGAATCTCGGACTCTTTTCAAAAAATTTACCATTTACTTGTAACATCAAGGTAATCCTTTGACGTTAAAAACTAAGAAAAAATTATCAACGAACCAAAATTCTCATTTTCATGAAATGCTTTAAGTAGGAAAGAGAAAGCAGAATGCCTTAGAAGGAACCATTTTAAAACCTTTCATGTTTAAACAATTCCATTATTTGATTATTTTATCTTGAAATTTGAGTCCTATAAAATCATGTCATCCTTTGACAAAATCATCTAAAATCTAAAATCCGCCGCAACTTATTAGATGTAGTGTAATAATGTCCTACCTCCACTATATCTTTTAGAAGTTCAGGACTGAAGGGATATATTTGGGGGCCATGCAAGATGGATTCCCAAACTATCATCAGACTTGATTGTCTCTGATGTCTTTGAAGCATCTTTATATAATAGTTAAACAAAAACTCAAGTTGATAATCTTGACTTCTCCTTTCTGCATGTTGCAAGCATTCAGATAGACATCATAAGTACCAAAGTAATGTTATGCAGCAACAGATTTGTTGCAAGACAAACTGCTTCTACAGGACACTAAGTGTCTGAAATAATACGACATTTAGGAAAAATAAGCATGCATCTGTCTGAGATCAAACAACAAATATCAATTCCTACCAGCATCGTTATGGAGGGAAAGCTAACTTAGCTTCAATTTAAATCACAATTAATGAGATCAAACAAGTTTACAAACCATGTATACTTCATAATAACTAAAGATTAAATTTCATCAACCACTCATAGAATACTATTTATTAACCTCTTCATAAAGTGATAAAACTTAATATACTGAATATAGAATCTTGATGTTTTCGATACAATTTTTTGGTACAACTGAAAACGTTAATAATATTGAAGTTTTCTGAACAAATTTTCCTTCAACTAAAAATGTCAATTCTACTAACATTTTTCTTTTGTAAAATAAAGTCGTCATTCTTATTAACGTTTTGCTTGTAAATGTCCACGTAGTCAAAATAATTTATTTCGATAAATTATTTTTTAAACAATTATTTATGAAAATATTTTAAAAATATATATTTATTCAGGCCAAAAGGCCGTAGGATTGTTCTGTGTTTTAGTCAAAACTTTATGAATGCATTTCAACTTCTCTAACATAGAGTCTGGCATACTCTCCAAACTAAGAATAGTCCACCCAAGTTGGGCTGTTCGAGCAAAATCTACAAAAGAAAGATGAAACGAAAAATGACGTGAATTCATGTAACAGGATTAAGTATAACCAATAAACCAGTAAGGGACACAGCCATTAATAGCATTTTGTAACTCTAGCAACATACATGATCATTCATGACATGCATATCCATCAGATATGAAAAGTAAAGAAATCATGTTAGGTCTTATTATAGGAGAAGAAAATAACAAAGAAAAATGATATAAATTTCTCTATCAGTTTAAATTAGCTTATGAATAAGCTGATGTGTACTAACTTTCTCATATTAGCTTCTTCATATGCTTATTTTTAACTTATGCGTACCTAATTTTAGCATATGGAGAAAATTATTTAATTTTTTCCTTCGCATTTTCTACTCCTATAAGTGTCCATGGAAAAATTTATCCAAAAAAGTCCTTAATCAGCTATTTTGAAACCTTTACCAGCATAGCACATTAGACTCCTAATTAGTTACAATACTAGAGTACATACTTTTCCTTCCTAGCTTTTGAAAACCGACCCCAACTACTAGTACTGATATCAACTGGAGTGCACAAAAGAGTATCTACATCAGAAAACTCTCAATTGAGACATCTTCCCACCATAGAAGTCAACGAATTGGGACAACAAAGATAGTTGAGCCTCTGATGTGCTGAGGGAGAACAGGTGTTCATTCACATCTTCGTACAATACAACGCTAAACAGTTGCTCATCATCGTCTGCTGTATCTGTTCATTGTTAATCAGCAAACTAGTATAAGCAGCTTGTTTGCAATGAATTTGTATTGCATTTCAAAGCAAAGCAATAAAGCAAAATTCAAGAGAAGCCCATTACACACACACACGTACATTAAGATAGAAGTATAGTAATGAATGCAAGGAGAGAAAATCCCACCTGACTTCCTACGATCAGGCATCCACTGATCACAATCTCTAGAAGACTTCTTCGGACCATTAGATCCAAGTTGAAACGTCATTAACTTCACCACCATCCCCACCATTGATATCAACTTCTCATACTTGAAGTCAACAATCCAAGCAACTAGATAAATCAATATATTTCAATGGTTCTAATTGCTCTTTACTTTTTCCTTTTCCACAAACCTTTTGGCTGAGGTATGGCGGAAAAAAAGGACCTTGTCTTTAAAGTTGGTAACCACAACTTATGAAATACCTACTCCAACCCAGGAACTACACATGACAAGTTTCTAACACTTCGATGTTGGTAACCACAACTTGTGAAATACCTACTCCAACCCAGGAATCAGACATGACAAGTTGACTTTGTAAATCCATTATATAATAAGAGTCTTCGATAAATGTTTAGTCAAGAATAACTGTCAGCTTAATCTCTTGGCTTGTGTCCAGGTTTGTTGGAGAGGTGTCTAAACTTTGTCCAACAGATGTTTGAGAAAAAAAAATTTTAAAAAAAACCTAACTTTTAATTGTGACATGACAGAGGAATGTTGACGTTGTTAACACTGTCTAAGGTGTATCTAACAAAAGTCGTATTGAAATGTGTCGGACATGCCAACACACCATTTTACAGAAGTGTCCGTGCTTCATAGACAGCAACCACAACACAACAACTCAACTGAATACCAGTTCATCGGCTTGAACATTGCCTAACTTTGCATGTTTGCATAAATGGTAAGGGGATCACAAGAGGTTGATGGTTGATGACATTAGCTAACCAAGACTCACCTAACCTATGATATCTAATTAAATAGTGAGAGGAATCACCATTCAAGTACTAGACTTTATACCTTACTGTTATTTTGTTAAACACGTACTGACTTAAGCGTGGGAATATCCTTGTATGTTATCACTGTTACCACACCCATCCACCATGAAGAACCATCACACCCATCCACCTTGGAAGACCTTTACATTGAACTACCGACCTTGTATGTGCCACCAACACTCCATCTTACCTCGTTCAACCAAACATAATAAATTTGATAGCTGCAACAAGAATGTCAAATTTGATTCTGTTTATTGAAGAATATTATTACTTGTTTAACTTGGACTGCGTTATTAAATTATATTTTACAGTATGCTAGAGCACTCTCTTCAAAGTGCCATTAACAACAAAAATTCAATGATTAAAAACAACATAAATCAAAGCATAGACATCATTCTAATGTTGTGTTTAGATAGAGAATTTTAGAATCCCTTAATAAAATAATTTCCCCTTAGAATGATGTCTATGCTTTGGTTTCTGTTTATGCCTTTTCAAGCCCGGGACACTTTTATGCTCATCAAGGTTGAACCCACCTGTAAACAACGAACTTGCTGTATGATGTTATCAATATCTTCCTTGACTAAAGACATAATCTGTTGCAATTTAGCATCCTTGTGAAGTAACAGCATTCACCCTAATCAAACAGTTCCTTATATGTTGAGTGCATTTATCAGATACCAGTGACAAACTGCTTTCAGTTACAGCTGATCCCATTCTCTTCAACACAAGATGATTTATGGTACCAATCAAACAAGAAAAAGCACGGTAGGAGATAATAATGCTGAGTACTTGATTGAATGGAGGGAGCTTCCTGCCTTCCTGTTCATCACCATTTTCTGGAACGCACTGAGATACAGTAAAATATGTAATCAACGAAAGTACTAAAATCAATTCATATCAGCAAAAATTAAGATCCATTGCTTTAGGGAAATAAAAGAAAAAAGAAGAAAATTAAGATAAATTACCAGAAGCACTTACTAATATCAGAAAACATAATAGGAATCTTTCAGTCCTATAAGCAATGGTCATAACTACAAAGATCTATGCTACGAAAAATAAATACCATACAACCAAAAATCTTCCCTTCAAGACCTTCCATAGCATGAACCAATGGAATAAATTCCAGGAAACTATTTATTAAAGCCAGCACTAGATCCTTCAGTTTCTTTATGTTATAAGAAAAACCTATGCAAACAGATAAGCATAGAACAGGACAGTCAATTATTGACAACATAAAAAGCTTACCAAAAATTGGACATTTGAAAATTAAGCAAAATCATACAACAGTAGTCAAATAGTTATTTCTTAATCAAATTGTATTTTTAAGTTAATGTACTGTATGTACCATTAGAGCTCACAAACGCATCAACTTGAAACACAAGCAATACCCTTTTCCCAGTATCCTATTAAAATTAGGAAAACTATTAGAAATAAATTGATGAATGGAAGAACAGAAGATAAAATAAAGACAGCATTAATCACAATGAAATGTTTCACACAGCAGATAGTTACCAGGTCTGAAATCCCAAGAATTTAAATCATAAGTCATAACTCCCACTCTATTCATAATAAAAGTCTTTGTCCTTTCCAGATAGTAATGTGCATTATGATTTGTGCATGACTATTAATTACTACATGTATCCTGATAAAAAATTACAAGTTCCAGATACATATAATTCAACCAGTTTAAGCATAAAGCTACTAAGAGGAAATGAAATGACAGAGAGAGAGAGAGAGATTGCTAAAGCAAAAGTGCAAAGAGGTTCATGTCATATAAAGAAATTCCAAAGCTTGAATAAAAACGACTGAACAGAGCATTTACAATTATATTGCCAATTCATCTCACAAAGTCTAACCAGTTTTCACAGTTAAATGAAAATAAAATACCTTATTATGAAAATCTGTTTCTCTTTCATTAATGGCAAGAGTGACAAGCAGCGAACCAATCCAGTAAAAGCATCCTTTAGTTTTTCTTTGTCCTGTAAATAATACTGGTTCTTCCTCAGAATATCCTCATAATTCTGGAAAATCTGTTAACCATGCAACCAGCATAAGTAAGTGAATTCTAAACTTCAAATACAACAATACAATAAAAGGAGAGATATAGAAGAAAAAAAATTAAATTAAAAGTAGAAAGTTATGAATCTCTGGAATCAATCCATGTTGATACAAAATATCTTATGTAGCAATCAAAGTTATAGCACGAGCAGCATTATCAAACAGTAGACCACTGAAGAGTAAGGCAAAGTACAAAAATAACCAAAAAGAAAATATTAGTAGAGTCTTATTCACCAAATCAATGCCATGGAGAAAAAGAATGCCAAACTATAAATCAACTTATTAGAACCTAGGTCATGCAAAGCGGAGGACAGGGATTCCGCAACCAATCTTATGACCTGCCTGTAGTTTTGCACCACAAAAGTGATTGCAAACTTGGTAACTGACGAATTTGGAAGGCCAAGTCAGCAAATGAATCAGCACTCAATATAGTGCCATTGAAGCTACTTAAAGAAGAATGTAAATTAAAAAAATGGTAGTAAAAGATTCTAGTTTTCATTTAGCCATTCTATAAGTACAACATTTAGAATTACAAACTTCTTAGACGACTAAATGCCTCAGAGGACACTTTTATCTTTTCTGAATTACAAAATAAAGATGCCAACGAATTCCAGACAGAAATTTCTGGAAGCTTCCCCTGGCTTATCATGTCCTCCAACCACATAACTGCTTCATATTGCCTACCTAAGGAGCAAAGACCCTTAATGAGTGAATTGTAACTGTTGGTGCAAGGCCAATATGATTTAATTGACATTTTCTCCAGAAGTTGGCTCGCCTCAAGATACCTCCTCTCACTGCAAAGCATTTCCAGCAAAATTCCATAAGTATCTCTATCACCCTTGCAACCCACCTTGTTAGACATTTTGTTCAAGCTCTCAAGTACGGTCATGGAATTTCGTACATTGCATAGGTTTTTCAAGAGAATATTGTACACTCTAGCAGTTGGTAGAAAATTGACTTTCACCATGTCTTCCTCAATTACCTTGATTGCTTCATCCACCTTACTAACCTTGCACAATGCAGCTACTTTTGCCTCAAAGATAGAATGTGTTGGTTTAAAGCCTCTGTCTTGCATTTCAATGATGACTTTATCAGCCTCACCTATCTTACACTCACTGTATAGATCAACAGCCATGGCATTATAACTAGCCAAACTAGGAATTGAGCCCTTGACCAAAGTTTCGTGAATCAAGCGTTTAGCGCTTTCTATATCTTTACCATCTGAGAACTGGCCAAGATCAAGTCGGTTGTGACATCGCTTTGGAGCCTTCAGTCCTTTCCTCAAAATTTTACCCAGAATTTCTACTGCTTCTTCAAATTTTCCAGCATCACATAAAGCATCCAAAAGAGTTCTATAGATCACAATATCCTCACCATTACCTTTCTGTGAGATCCTCCAAAACATTGAATACAACAAATGGGTGGCCTCATGCAACCTCCTGTCTTGGCACAATCCCTTCATCAATATTGCATAACTATCCCTATTAGGGTAGCAACTTTGATAATCCATCTCTTGGAATAACTGCAATGCCAAATCAGAGCGACTCTTCTGACATAGAGCATACATAAGTAAGTTCAATGCTTGAGTCCTGGACCTCACTTCCCAACCACAAGAACTCTCAACAAAAAGGCGGTGCGCAGCTTCAAGCTGGTTCTTCCTCACCATTATCTCCAACATGGTGTTGAAGGATTGTGTCCAATTCACACAGTTAAAGTGAGGAATGCTCTTATACAGAGAGAGTGCTTCATCCACCATCCCTGCATTGGCATATGTCTTAATAACTGACACAAAAAGAGAATCCTTGCATTCACATGAATCATTTCTCATCTGCTCAATCACATCCCTCATCTCAGTGAGTCTCCCTGATGTTCCAAGGATGCTGATCATGGTGGCATAAACAGGACCATTGTGGCAGTAATTGGGGTATTTGGATTTGGCATGATTGAAAATGTGAAGAGCCTTTAAAGGGTTCTTTTGGGTTTTTATAATCTGAGAAAGATAGGTTGGTGTCAACACTCTTGGCCATCTTATGCTCATAGAACTTGAAACACAAAACAAAATACTAACGAATCTAAAACTGTTCCTCTCTCAATATGCTAAAAACACTTCAGGTTGACATACACAGGCGTTCTTCTGATACAAAAAACAAAACAAATTACAACCCAAAATTAAAAACATCAGTTAGATACAAAAAAAAATATATATTAATAATAATCAAGCTTAGCAACAATGACAATAGATTGTGATAAATAGGAAAAAGGAAATAAATAAATAAAAATTTACTTTTTTTTTTTGAAAATAAAAGAATAAAGGTCTCTGTGTTGTTAAAATCGCGACTCACCCCGTAAAATCGTACGATTTTACGGTATGCGGAGAACTTTCCGTGCTAAATCGGATGCTTAATCGTTGCGGAATAAGATCGGAGTAAGATCGCGATCTTCCGCGTGAATCGTGGGATCTTCGATCTCTCACGACTCAGAAAAATAAAAACAAAATATTGGGGCAGATTGCAATCGGTGTTCGCAGCAGAAGAAGAGGAAGAACCCAGCCGCGGAGCAGTAGAAGAAGAACGGAAGTACGGAACACGCACGCACAGCCCCGGATCAGTAGAAGAAGAACATAGCTCCGCAGCAGAAGAGGAACGCCTCACGGTAGCAGGCACAGTAGAAGAACGGAAGGAACACGCACCACGCACGCACAGCCAAAGAAGAAGAAGAAGAAATAGAAAACGAAGGAGAAAAGAAAGTTAAGAAAAATTTCACCTACCTCTCCTGACTTACGTCACGAGTGAGCCCTGGTTCAGTGCTTTAGCATTAGACATTGATGGTTTGAGGCAACTCAGAAATATGTTGAGGCAGTGAGTGAGAGATGAAGCTGAAGGAGGACACAGCTGAAGAAAAAAGCAGTGAAAGTAATGGGCCAATTTCATCCATTACTGTTATTAGTGTGGGCCACCTTAATTGGGCTAGGTCCAAAAACTCACCCCCTACATTGCAACAAAATCCACCCCAAAGAGACAATTAAAATGATTGAGATAAATGTTATAAAATATATTTAAAAAGAAAAGCATTTGTTTCTAATTTATTTTTATTTTAAATAATTGAGATAAATGTTACTTTGTGAAGTTGGACATATAAGAAGAAAGTTTTAATTTTTTAAAAATAAAGTGCTTTAGAAACCAAATTTAATATTTAATTCCTCAAGACAGGTCAATAATTAAATATAACTAAACTGATATTAATAATAATTAATTAATTAAAACAAAATAATATTAAAAGGCATAATAAAATCCTACACGCTTTTCAGTCTCTTTTCTCTCTATATACTATATATCTTACTTATTTTTCTTTTTCAAAAAAAACAATCTGACTTATTTTTCTATTATTTTGTGTGTGTGGCTTTTTCTTTTATTTTATTAGCCATTTATTAGCAGAGAGGATGGAAATACACTAAATTCTTACATTTTGCTATAATGGGTCCGAACTCTGAGTGATTATAGGAATGGTTAGGAAGTTCATCAACCACTTGTTGCAATCTAGCTCTATTTTCAATCTAGCTCAAAAATAACTTGTATACTTAAACTTTGTATGAAAGTAGATCTCCTTATGCAACTTCGACTTCTTCAACCAAGAAATTAAAATAAAAAATGAAAAAAAATTATAAATAAAATAAATAATAGAGAGTTTATGACTGCAGTGAATCCAAATCCAAAATGTAAAGATGTCAAATATGTCTGTTAGTTTATGCAAACCAATGTTTGTAAGTAGATTCATTTGCTTCAAATTTCCCTTCAACTATTCACCTGCTGGCTAAGTAAATTGGCTCATATTTTATTATCTTTTTATAAAAATAAAAAAATAATTAAAAAAAAAGACCAATGTGATCCGTTACTGTTGTCAATATGGGCCACCTCAATTGGGCTAGATCTTAAATTGGTTGGCCCAATCTCACATACCATGATTAGGGACAGCCCAGTCCAAAAGAAAAGAGTATTTCTATTTAGTGCAAATTTTACGAATTTGACTACGAAGGAGAAAATCTGAAAATAACTACTTACATTCACTATCCATTATTTGTATATATAAAAAAAAATAATACGAAAATCTCTTGATACAAATTAGTACTTCCAAAATCTTATTATTACTAATAACGTGTTAAAATTGTGTTTTTTTTATATTTTAATTTAAGATAAAATAATATAATCTTTAAAAGATATTTATTATCTTAAAAGTTAGAATATTCTAATTTCAAATATAAGGATAAAGATAGGGTTGGGCGTGCATCACAATTTTTATCTTTTATTTGAGAAAATTTGACAAATAAAACTTTTATTGTCTTCTAAATTAGACTATATGTGATGTTGGGCTGAACCTATAACATTTTATATTTTAAGTTTTTAATTTAATTATGTGTGATATATGGCTAAGTTGTTACTTGGTTGATTTTTGACTATTGTTTTAGAATTGTGGAGGTTAAGAGACTACGAGAGTTAAGTTATCTTTAAGATAGTCTCAGACAAAATTAAGTTAGTTCAGTTTAAGAAAGGATATATAAGATTTTTTTAATATTTGAATTTCATAAGTTCAAGTTTTAACAAAAGTTAGAAAGAAGGTCTCTAGAGTCCAAGCTTTATACTTTTTTTTTTTTTACTGAAAATCCTTTCTCCTTTCCTCCTTACAACTGATCCAAGGTGACCGAGTAGGAGATTCAAGCTTTTGGAGCTGAGAATCTCCAATTGGAACCGTGCGAAGTACGTTCCATCTTTTCCCCTTCTTCTTGTCTTTTAAGTGATTTGAGATAAAGAAAGTTTGTGGCTGATAATTTGTTGTGTTATATTGCTTATAAGTTGATCGAATACATCAAATGTTGGTTGATTTTGATTAAACACAAAAAGGAAATGAATTGCTTAAGTTTTGGTACTTAGAGGTGCTCTTAGGTGAATATGATGATCCATGAAATGTAATGATTGCATGTTGTTATTTGAGCTGATTTTGAGTTGTTTAGGATGTATATATGTTGAATTACATGTTGGATGTTGGGCATTTTTTGAGTTTTAGGTGGATTTTGTGCCAAAATGAGGTTTTGTCAAGTGAAAAAATCCTCATCACGTTGGGCACGCCTCCATGGCACCAAGTGTGATTCAAATCAAGGGTTCTCTACTCTAATCATGTTAGACACAAGATTAGTAGTGTCAAGCATGGAAGAGAGAGAAAAACCTCTTACTTGTTTACACTAAGTTTGGGTTAAATGGTATTGAGTGTGAGGAGAGAAAAATGTTTATGATTTGGTAACCTTGGAGTCCAAGTTGAATGGCACCCAGCGTAATCAAGATAGGAACTCACTATCTGACTTGACATCGGATGCAAGTCAAGCATAGATTATTTGCCTAAAATGGGGTCAGGTGTGGGTTTTGGCACGCTAAACATGAGAGACTAAGAGGTTTTTTACCTTACCCACGTCGAGCGCAAGTGAATTGGCATTGGCGTGGACGAGATAGAAAACTCATTGTCTCAATAGTATTGAGTGCACCGAGAATGGTGTAAGAGATGTTTGATGAAATGTGATGCTTTAAGTTGATTAATATTTGAAGAATGATGATTCAATCATATGATGAATGTTGTATCATGATAACTCATTATGCATTGAATTGAGATAATGTATAATGATAGTTATGTTGCTAAGATGTAAGCTGATAATTGATTAAGTTGCAAAGTTATATGATGTTATAGTTGATTAAGTTAATAAGTTGTTAGGCATGTGGTGAAAATATGTCTTAGTTAAGACACACAAAACTAGAGGAGAATAAAGTTGTTTATAAAATTAAAAATATTTCATTGTGTGAATATAAGATGTGGTGCTCCAAAAGTCTAAGTTGAGAACTCTTCAATAAGTAAGCTGAATTCTAAATGAGTAGTTGTTTTAAGTAGTCTCCTCTAAGTTTTATGTAGATTTCGTGTGGGGGCCAGGTCAAGCCAAAAGTGTATAAAATGATCAATTGAGTAAAGTATAAAGTCGATAGATAAAACTCTTAATCAATTATTGGAAGTGTGCATAGTACTTGGAATGTAGTTGGCGAGTTAATCTCATAGGAGACTTAGTTATACATATTAAGACAATGGTAAGCTCACATCGAAGTTGTTTTACCTTGATAGTAGTACTAAACTTTCCTAATTTAAGTAACGAAACCTGATAAATCAATTTAAGTTGTTTACCTGACACTCTAAGAGGCCTAACGCTATTTATACTTTCCTTATTTTTGTCTCCATATGCGACAAGTATTAGATTTGTGTTCTCAACTCTTCATCCTTGTCATCGTCGGGTATCAAGTATACACGTACTCACCTTGTAATTGTCCAAAAATTAATTACATATTTAAAAAAAACAAAAAATTTAACCTAAAGTAAGAATTACAAAATTACATTAATTAAATTTCATTTGATATAAGTTTAAAATAAAGTAAGAATCACATAAATGTCAAGTAAACTTAAAAAAGTAAATTAAATTTTTAGAAATTTAAAGCGGATACATATATGAGTATGTGATAAATATGTGTATACTCATTTCTACTCGTACCCCGATTTAATAAATTAAGTATATTCATACTCGTACTCGTATCTGATCAAATTAAATATTGTTTGTTAAAATTGAGATGAATTCAAATATTAGTTATGAGTACGAATTTTTTTATCTTCCCTATACACAATATCCATTATAATTATTTATTAAGTTGTAATCAGATATCGGACAAATGGAAGAAAAATATTTTTACGATAATAACTCTTGTCATTTCTAAATTTTATTGCAAAGGTAAAGGTTATTTTATTTAAAATTAAAATAAACATTTAAAAAATATTTTTTTAAAAATTAATTCTTTTAAAATACAGATAAGAGTTATTTTTTAAAATAAAAAATAACTATTTTAACCATAATTATGACAAACGCATTGAAAATAAGATAGGTTTAAATAGATTTGACAAATGTGTAACTTTTGAATACTAGAAAAATTTATTGGTTTAAGTGATTCGTGACTGGTATTTTTTAATTAAGGATCATATATAAAATAAATTTAATAAAAGAAAGTTATATATCTTTATCAAATTAAATAAAATACCTTTTAAATAATAAAAATACGTTAGTAGATATAAACGGAACTTAGTCCCTATTTGAACCAACGACATAATTAATAGGGGTGTGTAAAAAATCCAAATTTATTCGAACCGATCCATAACCGATCCGATCCATATTAAAAAATCCGATTCATTTTGAAAAAAAATCCGAGCCGAACCACTTTATAAAACCGGTTCAGTTATCTGATCCATTTTTACAAAGTGGATCGGTTCGGTTCGGTTTGATTTTCTAAAAAAACCGATCCATACATGAGTAAAAAAGTGGATAACTGCACCGCACCGAATTGATCCAATTTTAAAAAAACCGATCCACTTTATAAAAAATGGATCGATTAACTGATCCACTTTTATAAAACGGTTCAGTTCAATTTGGATCAGTTTTTTGAAAAAACCGATCCATGAACACCCTAATAATTAAAACAAAACATATCTATTAAAAATATAAAAGGTGAAAAAAAAAAAGAAATGAAAAAGCAAAATAGGAGCCTTCATATATTGAATCAATAAGCATATTACACTACTCAAGTATTGCACGTGCCACGCGTTAACTCTTTTTTTTGTTTTCCTATCAATCTCATGAGGGCCCCATTAAATATGTCTAGAAGCCGAACCCTACATAGGCGAGTAAATATCCAGTGGCATTAATTGGAAGTTTTTTTTTTTTTTTTTTATCAAATAATTTTATTTTTTATTTCTCTCTCAAGTACTTTTCAAATTTCATCCCATGCAGTATTTTTTATTTTTTAAATAATTCAGATTAATGGATTGTGA